CCAGGTCTGGCTTCTCCAATCCAACCAGTGGAGCCTGCTTGGGATTCTCACTCTCTGCCCCTCCCCCACAATATAAGTAAATAAACGTTTAAGAGAAATAAATTAAATTAAATTAAAAAATAAAGTACACATATCTGGGGTGCCTGGGTGGCTCAGTTGGCTGATCATCCAACTTTGATTTCAGCTCAGCTCACGATCCCAGAGTCGTCTCTCTGTCTCTCTGTCTCTCTCTCTCTCCCTCTCTCTCTCAATAAATAAATAAATAAACAAATACACATATCCTTTAACCCCGCAATCCTTTCTGTTCCATAGATTCCATAGAAGTGAGAGTACCAGTCTGTAAGGCCATACATTCAAAATCATTATTGCAGCAATGTTTTTAGTGTCCTTAAACTGGAACCATGTTGAATGTCCATCATTAAGAAAACATCTGAATAACTGATAAATTCAGGCCATGAAACAGCCCACAACCTTTAAAAATAGAACTACAACAAATGACTTTGAGCAATTTCTGCACGGTATTGTTGAATGAAGAAAATAAAATACGGAATACTACTGAGGATGTGATCCCATTTTTGTAAAACAATGCCTTCCCAAATACTGTGTGTGTGTGTGTGCGCGTTGTGTGTGTGTTCATCAAATGAACTGAATTTGATATGCTTATTTATTCAAACAACTTTATTCTTTTTCACAGTTGTTTCCTTCAAACCCTCTCCTTAGACTAGTCAATTCTTCCCATCCCCTTAGATGAAATCTCAGGCACTTCCCAGAACTTTTCGGTCAATCCCAGGTAAAACAACAGTAAGATATAATCCAGCGTGGGTGCCCTCTGGAAGTAGCAGGTGCCTCATGCTAATGTGTGTCCCACTGGAGAGTTTTGGGGGGTTCCTGGGACATGACCAGTCTGACTGTGTCTTCCCTCCAGGCATCCAGTAGTCCACCTCCCAGGTGGTTCTCACAGGCAAGATCCAAAATGACTCAAGGTCAACTCTTTCCCACCTCAGGTCCCTAGGAAAGTCTCCTGTCTCATTTGCAAGTCCCGATGCATCCTCTTTCTTTCCCTACCCTCTTGCCTTGGACCAGATCTTTCCATGGCTCCTCACACCCTGATTCCAGGGGACACAGGTTCTGTGAAGTCCCATCTGTCACTTGACCAAGGTGAACAAACAGCATGCTCTCCAAAGAAATTTTTCCTCCCTCCGTCTTTCTCTTTCTCTCTCTCTCTCTCTCTCTCTCTCTCTCTCTCTCTCTCTCTCTCTTTCTCAGCTCTTCCATAATCTCCAGGCGATGTGCTAGGTTCTATAGAAATGGATGAAAACCCGGAGCACACTTAACACCTATTGTCAGCCTTTACAGCCTCGGCCAAAATTGGGATAGCCATGTTTTAGCAACCTGTTATAGACCAATAGGCAGACAGAGCTATGCTGAATGGGATTTTAAAAATGCGTGAAGAAAAATATCGAAGGATGCACTCCAGGTTGTTATCAAGGAGTAAACTCCTTGCTGGGAGTTTACTCATTATCTCTGCACTGGAACAAAGACTACAAGTGATAAAGAGGGAAGAGGAGAGGTCAAGGGTGAGGTGAGGGCGCCAAGCCAAAGGAAAAAAAGAGAGAGAGATTGCACCAAAAGAGAGCAAGTGCATGATCATATTTAGCCATTTTTACAAAAGTACATATACGTGTGGACATATGTTTAAAGATTTTAAGTGAAGGGGTGCCTGGGTGGCTCAGCTGACTAATCGTCCGACTCTTGATCTCGGCTCAGGTCATGATCTCGCAGTTTATGAGACCCAGCCCCACGATGGGCTCCGTGCCGACAGTGCAGAGCCTGCTGGGGATTCTGTGTCTCCCTCTCTCTCTGCCCCTCCCCTGCTCGCACTCTCTCTCTCTCAAAATAAAGAAACATTAAAAAATAAATAAATCAGGGGCACCTGGGTGGCTCAGTCAGTTACGTGTCTGACTCTTGATTTCAGCTCAGGTCACGATCTCATGCTTCATGAGTTCGAGCCCTACATCGGGCTCTGTGCTGACAGCATGGAGCTTGCCTTGGATTCTCTCTCTCTCTCTGCCCCTCCTCTCCTCTCTCTCTCAAAATAAATAACTTAAAAAAATCCTATTCAAAGATAGTTAAGTTGTAAGTATTTTTTTTTTTTTGAAAGTGATCAATGACCTCCACTTTACCTAAAATATCTGATGGTCGATCCTGTCTTCTCCTTAGTTGACCTCACTGGATCTCGTAGAAGTGTGTGACCCAAACGGTCACCTGCTCTCTTGCAACACTGTCCTCGGTCGGCTTGCATGATGCCATACTCTGCTAGTTTTCCTCATACTTCTCTGGCTGTTGGCAGCCTTCTTCGCCAGATTCTCCTCTAAATAGCAGTGTCCCGAGACACTCTCTGTCTGCCCTTATCTTCTCTGCCTATAGTTATCCTTACTCGTTCCCATCTAGTCCGTGCCTGCAATGCCACCTCATACAGCTGACTGATGTCTTCTCCAGTTTATAGTCCTGACCTCCCCCATCAGGTACAGAATCTTATCCCATTTCACCCTTAACGTCAGACAGGCATCTCATCGCTAACATAAGCAAAACAGGATTCTTTATCTTCCACCCCTAACCCTGCTCCTCCCCCAGCCTTCTCAAGTCTGGAAATGGCAAAACGTTCACAAAACCATATAAGTCAACGTCCTGGGAGTCGTCCTTACCTCCTCTTTCCCTCACGAGGGGCACGTGATTCATCAGCAACTCCTACGGGCTCCACCTTCACAATGAGTCTCTGATCTAGCTTCAACTGCTGCCACCAGCATCCCTCTCTCAAGCTGCACGATACCCTCCAAGCTAGCATCTGTAGGTCCACTTTTGTCCCCTTTGTTCCAGCTGCTCAGCAGCGGCTGATCACTTTTAAAATCATAAATCAGATCAGGCCAATCCCCTGCTCAAAACCCTCCATACTGACTTTTCAACTAGCCCGTTTCCTAGCCACTGTCAACCTTCCCTTCCTCTACCCCTGCTTCTTGGAGAAAGTAATGGGCAAGGCTAGAAATCTACATTTCCCAGATTCCCTTGCAGTTAGGGAGGCCACGTGATTCAGTTCTAACCAATGAGACTTGATAGGGATTCTAAGAAAGCCACTGTTTTCCTGAGAAAAAGGGAGAGTGTAATGCCATACATCTTTTGACCCTGTTTTCCTTTGTTTCTGCCTGGAAAGCGAGTACCCAAAGATAGAGCAGCCATGTCAAAGATGTCAGGACAGGAAGGGAAAAGGGATCTTGCTCCTTGAACCGCAGCATCAGCCTTTGAATGGCCATCCCTAGACTTCTTGTTACATGAGAAAAAATACATAAATCCATGACTTGATCAAATTGCTGTGATAGAGTTTCTATTGCATGTAGCCAGATACAGTTTCTGGCACAAGCTTCTCATCACTTGTTTTTTGTTGTTGTTGTTGTTGTTGTTGTTTTTTCAACGTTTATTTATTTTTGGGACAGAGAGAGACAGAGCATGAACGGGGGAGGGGCAGAGAGAGAGGGAGACACAGAATCGGAAACAGGCTCCAGGCTCCAAGCCGTCAGCCCAGAGCCTGACGCGGGGCTCGAACTCCCGGACTGCGAGATCGTGACCTGGCTGAAGTCGGACGCTTAAGCGACTGCGCCACCCAGGCGCCCCACATCACTTGTTTTTAAAAGAAATTCCCAAGGCCTTACATGATCTCTCCAACGCATACCCTACCATTCTCTATTATTCTTCCTGCACCAGCCTCATAGACCCTCTGGGCTGTTCTTGGTACATGCCAAGTTCATTTCTGCCTCAGCGTCTTTGCCTTTGCTGTTGTGCTGGCATGCTCTTCCCTGAGACCTTTCGCATGGTTGGCTTGAGTCCCCCCCCGCGGCCCGCCGTTACTCAGCCTTGTGCTTTTATGTCAGCTCTGGACCAAGATCTTGCCTCGACTACTCCATCCAAAATTGGTTCCTTCACAGTCTTTAACTCTTTAGTGATTTATTTTTATTCAGTTATCACTAACTAAAATTGTCTCTGCCTGAGAGTATGTAATTTATTTTCTCGCTTCTTTAATGTCCGTCTATTCCACTGGAATGAAAGCTTCAAGAGGTACAGGCACATCCCCAGTACCTGGAAGAGTGCCTGGTATGAAGTAGGCATTCAAAAGTTATTTGTTTAATCAACGAAACAATCAATTCACGGCATCCTGCAACTGAGATGCAGTCAACCTTACACCACTCAGCAGTTCTTTGTAATGAAAACACTGTGTACTATCCTACTATAAGTTAAAGAGGCGGTGTTGGGTTTATTTTTGGTATTTTTGTCATGCCAGCCCTTTTTCGGGCTACCAAATTTGGAATCGGCACTCTGGACACATAGACACTTAATTTCATGGCCTCACCTGAAATTCTGGACCGGCTCCGCAATTTAAGGCTCATCTAATGACTGAACTTTGCAGCAGGGCGTCCAGACATCTGCACTGACACTGAACAACGCCCGCCATGGTCTTGCTTTCTCCCAGATCACCCAAAGGACGGTGAGTTGGTGAATCCGTTCAGAGACCAGAGACTCGTTTTTTCTCGGACCTTTTCTAGATTGGGCCAGGGCCGTGATCACAATGTGGGCAGTATCATGCCAGAGTGATAAAGGCGTCGGAAGGCCTGGTCCCAACCCCAGCTCACCAGCTACATGGCCAGCCTGAGTTCGTGGGGTCCCAGGGAGGAACACACATCCGGACGTGCAGTCAGTTCCCTCCCTATAAAGAGAGAGGCGGGACGTGCGAGCTCTGCAGTCCTCCCGGCTCAGAAGCGAATCTGGATGCGAGTCTTTCACTTCCCTTCCACCCTCCTGGTAGCCTTGCACGCCCACCTGTGGCACGAAGACGCAGCCGCGAGGCCGGAGGCGGGAGCCCATCAACTAGCCCTTCGCGCGGCCCGCCCCGAGCGCCGCGGCCGCGGCCCCGCCCACTCCCGTCGGCCCCCGCGGGCCGCTCCCGTCGCCGTGGAAACGAAGGCAGCCAAGCGGCGCGGCGGCTTCCGCTCCTCCGCGTCGGGGAGGGCTCCGGCTGACCGCGATGCTGAAGGCCAAGATCCTGTTCGTGGGGCCCTGCGAGGTGAGGCCCGGCCGGCGGGGGCGGCGGGCGGGGCCCGGGCGGGCGCGGGGGCGACCGGGGGCTGTGCCTGGCGCCAGGAGCCCCGCAGGAGGCGGGAACCTCGTCCCCCCGCGCCCACCCGGTGTGCGCCGCTGGCCTCAGCGGGAAGTTGGCGCCCCCAGACCTTGACCCGGTTTTCGTGAGCCCTGAACGTCGTGAGTGGCGTTTTGGAAGCCGGGTCTAGGTTCCACGACTCTCCTTTGCCCGTGAGGTTGGCCCTAATGAACATGCCTGTGGGACAAGAAAAGCAGACTGTGTTCGCTCTCAGTGTGTGTATGGTGGTGGTAGTGGGAATTAAATCTACGTGTGGACGTCATACACAGGAATAGAGTCCCTTGGGCTAAAGCTAACTGTGGAAAACAACAACAACGTGGAAATAGCCAGTGAATAGTCTCCATCTCCTGCACGCATCGCGATTGGCCCGGAGGGCTTGTGAAAAACACAACGTGCCAGTCCTGCCCCAGGGTTTTGATTCAGTGGGTGTGGGAGGGGTCTCAGAATCTGCCTTTTACTGAAGCTGTTCGTCCAGGGACCCCGCGTTGAGAATCACTGTAGTATGTGCATACACGGAGAGATGTGTTATTCATCTTGAGACAGGGAAAGTCGCCTCAAGCACAACACAAAACTGAGGAAGCCTTAAAAGAGATGACAGCGAAGTTAAGCCTGGAGAAAGCATCTGCAAAATACATTACAAAGAAAGAATAGGTAGCAAGCACGAGGGAAGTCTCCAAATCAGTAAAGAGAACTCAACAGAAAACCGAGCAGAATCTGTGCACATGAGTACAACTGGCCAGTAAGTATAAGAAGCTATTCAGCCTACAGTTAACAAGAACACAAATTAAAACAAGAAGGTGACCCTAATTTGCCCATCAGAGTGGATGCAAAAAGGTTAGAACACTGGGAACATGAAGCATGAGGATGCTTGTAAGGAAATGAGTACTTTAGGATTCGTTGATGGGGCATTGATAACAGCTTCTTTGGCAGTCCAATGATTCACTTTAAAATGTGCAATAGCTTGCAGGGCACCTGGGTGGATCAATCGGGTAAGCATTGGACTTCTGCTCAGGTCATGATCTCCGGGTCTCGTCAGGCTCTGAGCTATCAGCTGGAGCCTGGAGCCTGCTTCAGATTCTGTCTCCCTCTCTCTCTCTGCCTCTCCCCTACTTGCACTCTCTCTTCCTCTCAAAAATAAACCCAAAAAAAATTTTTTTTAATGTGCATAGCTTGAGGCACCTGGGTGGCTCAGTTGGTTAAGCGTCCAACTTAAGCTCAGGTCATGATCTCACGGTCCGTGAGTTCGAGCCCCGCGTCGGGCTCTGTGCTGACAGCTCAGAGCCTGGAGCCTGCTTCAGATTCTGTGTCTCCCTCTCATTCTGCTCCTGCCCTGCTCTCTCTCTCTCTCTCTCTCTCTCTCAGAAAATACCCATTCAGCCTTCCCTGACCACCCAAAGTCCCTATGACGTTATCCTGTTTGATTTTTTTAATTTTTTTTTTTTTTTAGTGTTTATTTATTTTTGAGAGAGAGAGAGACAACCTGAGCAGAGGAGGGGCAGAGAGAGAGAGAAAGAGAGAGAATCCGAAACAGGCTCCAGGCTCTGAGCTGTCATCACAGAGCCCAATGCAGGACTCAAACTTGGAAACAGTGAGATCATGACCTGAGCTGAAGTCAGACGCTCAACCGGACTGAGCCACCCACATGCCCCGATTTTTTAATTTTTTTTCAAATCGAGAGAGCAAGCAGGGAGGGGCAGAGAGAGAGAGGGAGTGAGAGAGAATCCTAGGCAGGTTCCATGCTGCCGGCAATGGAGCCTGATGCAGGGCTCAAACCCATGAACCTCAAGATCATGCCCTGAACTGAAACCAAGAGTCGGACACCTAATTGAGCCACTCAGGTGCACCATCCTGTTTGATTTTTATTCTAGTACTTAGGACTATTTTATCGTATGTGTTACAACAGCACCTGGCAGGATAGACACTTAAAAATACCTTACGTACCAAACAGGCAGCTTCTTCATTTTCCCAGAAGAATCCTTCCCCTCAATCAGTTGGTTTTGGCTAACATGTGTATATACACTTTAAGGACATAGATGAAATATATCAATACACCTTTATAATGTTTTATGTATACATTTAAAGGAACATTAAAATATATATTAATTTGGATATACTGTTTTATTCCATACTTGCATTTCATGATAGCTTTTTTTTTAAGTTTTATTTATTCATTTTGAGAGAGAGAGAGAGAGAGAGCATTCACATGAGCAGGGAAGGGGCAGAGAGAGAGAAAGAATCCCAAGCACAGAGCCCCACTTGGGGCTCGAACTCATGAACCACGAGATAGAGCTGAGCCGAAAACAAGAGTTGGATGCTTAACCAACTGAGACACCCAGGTGCCCCTCGTGCCTCACGACACAGTTTTAAAATTCAAGCCCTTCTCCTGCACCTTGGACACCCAAGTTAATTTTATGAGTAGAGCCACTTTTAAAACACATCACAAAGCCCATCATCTGAGTAGTTTAGGATATAAGGACTTTTTGAATCTGTATATGACACTGTTCCTGGAAATGTACTCCAGCCCGAAGAGCCACTCCTACAACATCAGGCCATTTGCTTTATGTGTTCATCCTATAGATAAACATTCGTGATCTCCCCAAACATAACCACTCAACTGTGTTATTTTTAAGTGACATTTAATTTGTGAGGCCGCATGCTCGGGAAAAATTACTAGCACCGTATTAAGCCTTCATCCCCCCCCTCTTTTTCTGATTCTTTCAAGTGACTTCTACAAGCCCCCCAAACTGGCATTGATTGAAATTGTTCTAGCCAAGCAATTGTTCAAAATAAAACAACCGAGAGAGCAGGGCCTAATTTCAGAGATTTCTACAAGGACTCAAGTGTAAGAGATTCCCTTCTGAGGAATAATTTGGGGGGAAGAAAAACCCCTTGTCTTCTATCCGAGCATATACAATATTTGTGAAACGAATGGCACAAATGTACAGAAAATACCTGAAGACGGATCATAGTCATTACCTTTGGGGAGGGAGTGGAGCGGACAGACGGATGGGTGTTCGGGGCAGAGGGCCCCGGATGGCTGTTTTGTTACTAGCGACGTGTGGGACTTGTATTATCTAGAAGGAGGAACGGAGGAATGGCCCTGTGTGACGGTGTGGCATGGCCAGCCACTGAGGGATCCAGCTCTGCCTTTGAACTTCTCTGTGACCTTGAGGAACTCCCTTCCCCTTTCTGGGCCTCAGGGGAGGTTTCTTGATGCGGAGAGGAACGTGGCAGCAGACAGACTCACGCTAACAATTCCCTTCTGTTCTCAGACAAGTTAATGGAGAGCCAGCCAGGGACGTCAGTGTGGGTAAGGTCACCCAGCGGCAGAGACAGCATTAGAACCCCATGCACCCCGGGTCCCAGGGCAGGCCGTGCCCACCACATACAGTAAGGCAGCGAGCTCCTCCCGAGCGGAGAGAGCCCTCTGCCGTGGCAATCCCGTGGTGGCCACCACGCCCGGTTCCAAGCCGGCTACTGGAGGCTCGCTTGTGGTTACTTTCCTGCCCTTCAGCACAGCCCTTTTATCATTTTCACTTCCACAGAGTGGAAAAACCGTTTTGGCCAACTTCCTGACAGAATCTTCTGACATCACCGAATACAATCCGACCCAGGGAGTAAGGTGAGCCCCGACAAATCTGTCTCCCCGAGGGCCCCCCGCTTCTCTGGGTGACAGTGGCATCCCACGAGTATGACGTGCCCAAAGTAGAGATGCTGCCCCTGTTTTTATTTCTTAGGATCCTGGAATTTGAGAACCCGCACGTCACCAGCGACGACAAAGGCACGGCGTGTGAATTTGAGCTGTGGGATTGTGGCGGTGACCCCAAGTACGTATGTTTCCTTTAAAGAGGGTTTGCTTCATTAGATGGCTCAAAACCCAGCTGCCCGCCAAGCACCCTGGACCCGGGCCCAGCACACTCCCTAGCATGTATTAGGGGCTTGATCAATTATTTGGTGATGGGCACCGCTCTTGAGAACTTTAAGGATCGGATTATGACACAATGAGAAGTCATCTGTCAATTAACATGAAGACGTTATTTTTATAAATTGTTTTGATGTTTACTTATTTTTGAGAGAGAGAGAGAGAGAGAGCGCGTGAGCAGGGGAGGGGCAGAGAGAGAGGGAGACACGGAATCCGAAGCAGGCTCCAGGCTCTGAGCTGTCAGCACAGAGCCCCACGTGGGGCTCAGACTCACGAACCGCGAGATCATGACCTGATCCAAAGTGGGGCGCTTAACCGACTGAGCCACCCAGGCGCCCCAAGACATTATTTCTAAAGTCCCACAGGTAAAGACCAGAAGCACCTAACATCCGCTCTGAATCCAGTGCTGCCTTGCAGGTTCGAGTCTTGCTGGCCAGCCCTGATGAAGGATTCCCACGGGGTGGTGATCATCTTCAATGCCGACACCCCAAGCCACCTGAAGGAAATCGACATGTGGTATTCCTGCTTCGTCCAGCAGCAGCTCCTGCAGGACACTCAGTGTCTGTTGATCGCACACCACAAACCAGGCTCCGGAAGTGATAAAGGAAACCTGTCTTTGTGTAAGGAGGCTGGAATTCTCTTTCCCGCTCTTGTCTTGAATGTTCTGGTCACTTGTATATTGTTCTGGGTCTTTGAAACCAGCTGCTATGTGCAATTATTGAGCACCTAATGTGTCCTGGGCATTTGTTTTTCCTACCATGTAAATTGGCATCCCCAGCTTAGAAGATCTGTCTGTCATAGCATCCAGGCCAGGAAAGAGACTCTTTAAAAGCAGGCAGACACCAAGAGGGGGGAAACCTGGTTTTAGCCACTCATCAGTACTATCAGGGACATTCTTTCCTGACTGGTCTTTTCTCCAGAAAAACTCCCATTAGCATGTAACACACACCATTACAGAGGTGACAAAGTGTTCATGGAAAACGACTCGCAACATTCAGAAATCTCTTCCTTTCTGGTGTAAGAACAAAGAGGACCTGGAAGTGGACGCCAGGTGGCAGTGTGGTGGCATTATTTATTGAGCACCTGTTATATGCCAAGCACTATGGTGAGTGCATCGGTAGAACCTTCATCTGTTAAATCACGGCAGGCAAGACCCACCTTTATTTTTGGACCCTAGAAAGTTAAACAAATTGGCTCCTGTTAAGACTCGGGTCAGCGGGAGCTAGAAACGGCCCCTGGTTCAAAGCTCATGCCTAATTACATTGTTTCTTCCTCAAGCACCCCCCTTGAACAAGCTGAAGCTGGTGCACTCGAACCTGGAGGATGACCCTGAAGAGATCAGGGTGGAGTTCATAAAGTATTTAAAGAGCATAGTCAATTCAGTGTCTGAAAGCAGAGACCGGGAGGAGATGTCGATTATCACGTGACCAGCCTTCATCCGGACTCTTCCGCGTTGCAGATGGGGTCAGCTCATTTCCCAGTGCACATCTAGAATCTCGTCCAGCTATTGATGTGTCCTTCCCGTGGCCGTAGAAGAGCTTTTCCTTGTCTGCTCTAAGGTACCAGTCTACCAGGGAGTTGACTCCTACCGTTCGTTCTCTATCCTTCGTTCAGTTGAGAAAATCCTATTGTCAAATTCTGATTCCTTTGCCCCAGATCTCTCCAAGAGCTGGAAAGCTGAGGTGTTTTTCTTTCCTCTTCCTAGACATCAAGAGGAACTATAAGTGTCCGAGCCAAACGATACAATAGTAGTTTCATTCGTGTGTGTTGGTTTGAATGGGATTTTCATTCCTTAATTCACTCAACAAATACCGACTTGTCGTGTTACACTGTTCGAGCCGCCGACCACATACAGCATGAACAAAACATAAAAATCTCCACCCTCGTGGAACTGCCATTCTGTTCCTCTAGATAGTGGCGAGGTTGAGTTCAGAATTTAAGTACTGCGCCTTAGACACGGGGAAAAGTTACGGATTCTGGATTTTCTGTAATTGGTCTAAAGCCCACACTCCCATCCTCCTAGATAATGGGGAGACCTGGACCACACTTGAGGCCAGAGAAAGGTACAGTTGACCCTCATTCATGGGTTCTGCATTTGCAGATTGCCTACTGGCTGCAGTGTAGTTGTAACCCCCAGACCAACAACTCAACTTTCACCATCATTCAGAGTGGCGAAAAATCTGAACCCCAGACATGCGCATTTCCAGTGGAGGCTGATCAAGGCCACGCTCTGCCTTCTTGTTTCAGCTGTCCTACTGTAAACGGGTGTCCCTGTCACAGCCTGCTTAGCACCACATTTTCACATGTGTGTGCTTTTCGTGAGTGGTTTCGCTGTTTAAAATGACCCCCGAACACCAGCTGAAGCACTGGCTGGTGTTCCTAAGCGCAGAAAGGCTGCGATGTGCCTTACAGACGAAACAAGTACTTTAGATGAGCCTCATTCCAGCTCATCCAGTTATAGCGCTGTCGGCTGTAAGTTCAGTGAATCAACAACACATATTAAATAAGGTGTCTTTAAACTGAAGCGTCCAGGGGCGCCTGGGCGGCACAGTCAGTTGAGTGCCCGCCTCTTGATTTCCATTCAGGTCACGATTGCGGAGTGGTGGGATCAAGCCCCACATCGGGCTCCACGCTGAGCACGGAGCCTGGTTGAGATTCTCTCTGTCCCTCTGCCCCCTCCCCTGCTCACATGCTCTCACACTCTCTTTCTCTCTGAAATAAAAAATAATAGGGGCGCCTGGGTGGCTCAGTCAGCTAAGCGGCTGACATCAGCTGAGGTCGTGATCTCATCGCTCGTGAGTTCGAGCCCCGCATCGGGCTGTCTGCCGTCAGCGGGGAGCCCGCCTCGGTTCCTGTCTCCCTCTCTACCTCTCCACAGCTTGTGCTTTTCTGTTTCAAAAAATAACATCAAAAAATATTTTGAATAAAAAATAAAAAGAAATGTAAACAGAAGCATCCATAAAACAAGGTTACGTGTTGATGGCTGATGAAAGTGTGGTCAGAGGTACACAGGAACACAACCCTGTATTTACCCAGAAGCGATGGTTCGGTATTCCCTAATCCAGTGTGCATGGCGAGTTTACAGAATGTAAGGGCCGTGGAGAATGAGAATCAACTGTTTTTTTAGATCACAAGACATAAAAAAACAGTTGATTCTAAGTTTCCAGGTTAGTTCAGTCTCTGGGATAAATATTTAATCAATTCAAGGTTCTAGTCCATTTCCTTGCAGTGTCAGGGTGTCCGGACAGTGTTTGTGCTACTATTGGGGCGCGTCCTCTGGCTGCCTTCCTGACCTCTGTCAGCGTGTCACTGGCCACCCTACTGGCCGTCTCCTGTCAAGTGCACGACTGACATGGCCCACGGAACATACCTCTCTGTATCTGACTCAAGCCTCCCTCTGCCGCTTCGTTTTAAGGACACTTATAATTGCATGAAGTGCCCACCTAAAGATCCCTCACTTAATCACATCTGCGAAGATGTCACGAAACAGCATGTGTCCCAGGGACTGGGACCCGAGATCTTCGGGGGGCCATAATTCAGCCCGCCCCAGGTGCTGCTCGCTGCGGCATTAACGGAAGAGGAGCAGGCTTGTGGGGAGTAAGGGGAGATGACAAATGACCAGTCCGAGGTGACCCAGCAAGTTAGGGACAGGGACAGAGCTGGACCCCACCCACGCCCCTGCTCTCTCCCCTGTCCCGTGGTAACGGGACAGATGAGTCCACCAGTGAACAAGGGAGAGAATGTCACCCCCGAGACAACCTAGTGAAGCCACAAGCACAGCACTCCAGGGCAAATAACCGTTCTTGAAGCCCAGGCACCCAGAAAGTGGCTTGCAAGTCTGTTGCAGAGAGAACTTAGCCTTCGGTTTCCTGACACCAGTCAACGATGGGATAGTACTGAAGCTGTAGCTTGCAAAGAAGGCTATGCGTGAGTCACTCCTATCACACCCTGAGTGTCCACATCTGGAAATTGCTCAGGGAAGCTGCTGGAGATCAGTATACTTTTTCTGGAACAGCAGAAGACCCTTGTATCCAAAGCATAGGTGAAATTGTTAGAACAAAGAGTAGAGATTTGCTGGTAACCGAAGACGTACAAGGGTTAAAAAAAAAAAAAAAGATACCCATTAAAAAAGTATCTGTTTGTACCACTTAAGAAAATTATGCTGAACTATGTCTTCTAGGTCTTGACTTTAGCCTTCCCCACCTGATGGTTGGGAATATCTTGGCCTTGGCTGATACTTTCTCAACAGATGTATTCTTTCCTCAAGCAACAAATGAAGGATCCCGTTTTAAAAACCAAATCCAAAGGAATTAAATTAGCCAGGAGGGAGGAAGCTCCTCTGCTTTTGAAATGGTAACAGATTACATGTTTTTGATGTGACTTCGAAACTGCTTTATCAGTTAAATAATTCTCTACGTTTATGATACTGGCCATTCTTCCTACCAAAGTTAAAAGCCAATGGAAATGTTGTGTCTGCCAAGTATTCCCACTTCAAAAGGAAAGTTCTCAGTGCTTTGATGTGAGCAACACCTCATCTGTCTTCCTGCACTCTACGGTTCATTCGTATCTAGGCCTCCTGATAGCTTTAAAAAGTATGCCTCCTTCCTCTAAAGCCTCAGTGCAGATTTACCTCACGCTTAAGCAGGTCTTTGGATGGGAGCATAATTTTAGTTTTCGGACGTTCAAAGTGCGATGTAAAATAAAAATAACTCACCTATGTTGCATTTTGTCTAACGAGTTTTGTGGAGTTTATACAGAACTATCCTTTTTTCCCTCTTTTGTGTGACTTTACGAGGCCTGGAAAACACCCACGTGTGTGTTACCCATATCATGTAATGAAATATTTTGTCCAGAGGAATAAAATTCTGATTTTATCAAAGTATTTAGTGACTTGGTTTCTACTTATAGAAACCTATTTCAAGTACATTTCAAGAATATTTTGCAAATCCAACTACACTTGGAATTTAGCACCCTCTTTGGGGGGTGCAACGGTTAAAAGCAGGAAGTTGTGCTTTGCATTAAAAAAAATATAGTGACAGGGCGCCTGGGTGGCTCAGTCTGTTAAACCTCCAGCTCTCGGTTTCAGCTCAGGTAATGACCTAAGGGTTCGTGGGTTAGAACCCTGCATCCAGCTCCAGGCTAACAGCTCAGAGCCTGCTTGGGATTCCTCTCTCCCTCTCTCAAAATAAATATACAAACTTAAAAAAAAAAAAAAAGCAGTGACAATGGTTTTAAGGTATCAATCACAAATGAGATGAACAATCTAAATAGAATGGTCCTTTTTTTGAGAGAGAGAGAGAGAGAGAGAGCGCGCGAGCAGGGGAGAGGGGCAGAAGGAGAGAGAGAATCTTAAGCAGGCCCCCACACGGGACTCGATCCTATGATCCTGGGATCATGACCTGAACTGAAATCAAGAATTGGAGGCTCAACAGACTGAGCCACCCAGGCGCCCCCTAAAAAGAATGGTTCTTACGTATGAGGAAGCTAGCGTAAGACAGTAAGTTAGGTCAAATATATATGTCGGTCAAGGAGCATGGACCCGGACTTGATTCTATTAGCTGCTGAAGAGCCCTAAGCAGAACAGGGACAATTATTTTGGTGGCCGTAGAGACTAGACTTAGGGGAACATGACTGGGGGCAGGTCGACTAGGAAATGCGGAATGTCTGAAATACGGCATTGAAAACGGGACAGGTTTTGTAACTGTGTAGGAGGTAAATTTTGTGCTTGGGTGGACAAGAAGGAAGCAGGCGACTCAAGCCTCCCTCTGCCACTACGTTCAGCTTGCCGGGTTTTTCGCAGGTGCTCAACGTAGTGACAGTTAATCAATGACTACGGTTCCCGTAGGCCTTAGTGCGGCGTCGCCTGCATTTCCCGGAGGGCTGTGCGAGGCTCGCTCCGGCCCTGAGCGTCCGTGGAAAAGGTAAACAGGCGGGGATGTGCTCCCTGCCGTTGCTTCATAACCAAGTTTCCCATTCTCCTTTCCTCCTCTATCCGTCTTCTCTGTCTCTCGCTCCTCTGTTCACGGGCTTCAGGAGCTCAAATACTCGGGGTTTGTCTCCTTTAGCAACAGTTCGGTGCTACCGGTTCGGTGCCGCGCGACCGGAAGCGGAGTGCACCCGGGGCCCTCTGGGAACTGTAGTTCTGTCTTTCCATGGCCTCTCTCCGGCGCAAGGGCTCCGTCTCCTCGGACCCAAGACCAAGGCCTGGGTGGCAGGGACACGTGACCTGTCTGTTTGGAAGCTGTGGGGACTGTTCCTCAGGCCCAGACCGCCGACGGTTGTAGAGCCCACGAGCCCGGCCCGTCTCCGCGGTGAACGGCTCGCCGAAGAGGCCTCTGGGAATTGTAGCTGGGGGAGGGTGGGGGAGCCGGGCCAGTGCGCGAGGTCCGAGCTGCGACCGTTACTCGCCTCCGCCGTCGGAGAGAGCTCGGGGGTCGCAGCCACACCCGCCCTTCCGACAGAGAAGGCTTTGCCTCGGCTTTCGGGAGCCCAGGCAGGAGGGCGGCCGCAAGGCGGGGTGTCGGCCCTGGCTCAGGGGAAGGTAGCTGTCAGACGTGGTGCTGAGGGTCGCGCAGTGGGTCGTAGCGTCGCGCAGTGGGTCGTAGCGATGAGAGCGGCATGAGAGCGTGGCCTCGGGGGAGCAGTTAGTCCAGTCTCTTCTGCTAGAGAAGGAGGGACCGAAGCCCACAGAGAGTCCACGATTTGCCCCAGAGCGAGGGTCAGGCCCTTGTCTGTGTGCTCACGCTTCCCTTTCGAGCACGGAGCGCCGTACCTGGCACAGAACTGGCGCCCAAACGTCTGTTAAGCGGCATTTCGTTGTAAGAACAGGCAGCTGAAACTCTTTTAACAAATTACAAGATTAAAAAATATTAAAAAAAAAAAAAAAGGGAAGTGGACCTATAGATGAGACTCATCAGCCAAATGCAACCTCTAAACTTTATTCGGATCATGGGTCTAACAACCAATTGTTCCATTTTTAAAAATCCGGGAAATGTGAACATTGATGGGCGATATGAGTTACTGTTTAAAAAGTTCAGCTATTAGGGTTATGCTTTAAAAAGGAAAAGTGTCTTAGAGATACATACTGCAGATTTTACGAGTTACATGATGTCTGAGATTCGCTTGAAAGATACCCAGTGTGGCCAGCGAGGGGAGACAAGAATGGCAGAAAATAAAGAGCTATGAAAACTGGGTGAGGGATACTAGAGAGGGTGTCGTACTGTTTTATTCTCTGTAGTGATATTGAAAAGGACCATAATCAAGGGGTTTTATTTAATTCTACTGTGTTTCAGAAAGTTTCTTAAATAAGATGCTCAGGGAGAGTTTGTCTGAAACGAACCCTCCCACGGCACAAGTGAGCCTCCTTGGGGACTTCTCCAGTCAAGAATGACCACAGCAGTGACGGGGGGCTGTGTCCCAGTGCCTCGGGATCCTTCAGAAGCAGGACAGAATTCTGACCATGAAGGTGGAAGCAGAGGACCACTCGTAGGGGAAAGACTATGCTGCCAGGTAATCAGCCTCCCAGCCAGGAGCTGGCCTGTCCGCACTTCAGAGAGTTCTAGACCCGGGAGGCTTGGGACCCCACCCGATTCTGCGATGGCTCTAGGAGCCCCCGCCGGTGGCTGAGGACACAGGGACAGTCTGCAAGTTGCCCATCCTGGAGCTGCTGGTGCTTGAGCAGTTCTTGGCCATTCTGCCCAGAGGCAGTAGGGCTGGGGCGGGGAGGGCACCCGGGGCGACCAAGAGGAGGTGGGAGTCGTGTGGAGGGCTCCAGTGAGAAAATGACCCAGGCCAGCAGGTAGAAGAGAGAACTAACTTCTGAAGATAGGGAGGGGTAGGTCTTCCAAAGAAGATGAAGGCCACATCTGTTTTGACCCTACACCGTGTCTCTGTGTTCCTCTTCTCTCTTCCTGGTACCTTTGAGGATCAAGTTCAATCACTTGATGGAATGAAACATAGGATCATTTCCTAGGTTTGTTTGTTTGTTTGTTTTTCCTGACATTCTGATTCTCATTCTTACCAAGATGTGCATCGTTTAAGTCATTATTTAAACCACTGAAATTCGAATCATTCTCTATGGAAACTAAAAGACATATTCTTCTATCACAATACACAGTCACCTGCATGTTTCACATTTCTGGCTGAGCTGCCCAATCCCGGAGCTCCTTAGCCGCTGTGTTCTTGAAACTTCAAAGGAAGGACTTCACCGTATCCCTTCTGTATACCTTCTTGCTGAAAGGCCAGCAAAGACTGTTTTTAGAAAACTTGTTATCTCTGGAGACAACTAAATGCAAAGTTTGGAAAATTCTCCAGCTCAGCAGACGCCTTGGCTTCACCCTCGTAAGAAACCCTGAGTGAGAACTGCTCAGCTCAACTAGAAGCCACTGGGGAGAAGTTAGGTTGGATTCAGAAAAACTGGAACTTCTGGGGGGCGCCTGGGGGGCTCAGTCATGATCTTGCAGTCTGACTTTGGCTCAGGTCATGATCTTGCAGTTCATGAGTTTGAGCCCATGTCAGGCTCTGTGCTGCCAGCTTGGAGCCTGGAGCCTGCTTCAGATTCTGTGTCTCCCTCTCTCTCCCCCTACCCCACTCATGCTCTGTATGTGTGTGTCTCTCTCTCAAAAATAAACATTAAAAAAATTAAAAAGAAGGGTGCCTGGCTGGCTCAGTTGGAAAACGTGTGACTCTTGATCTCAGCGTTGTAAGTTCAAGCCCCGTGTTGGGCATGGAGATTACTTAAATAAAATCTTTTTTTAAAAATACACTGGAGGAAAAGGTCTAACAAAACATTCTCTTAAAAAAAAAAAAAAAAAGCAAGTAACTACCTTTATTTCCTTTAGCGCTCCCACTGTTCTTACTGGTCTCCAGGACAGGAGGTTTGCCAGGGGGAGACGGCTCCCCACGCCCAGCAGGGGAATCAGCACACTTGAGCCCCAGTTCGAACGTGGATCTTGGGAGCTCCGCGCCAGTGGTAGGAGGCGGCATCCCCTGGGGAGCAGGTCAGAGTCTTTGATGTTTTTCCTGGGCACTCCTGTGTTGAAAAGCAGGACAAAACACACAGCGTCCAGACCTGTGCTGGGAGTTGAGTGTGATCATCCACCTGGCATGAGACCTCAAGTCCAGGACTCAGCGAGGTCCTGAGGTCATTGGAGCACAGCAGAGAATGTCAGGTCATCCCCCAGTGCCCCAACCACAGCGGCGTGGCCTTCCATTTCCTGAAGAGTTACGACGGACACGCTATCGGGCTGTTTTGAATTCTGGTGTGGTAGCATTTTAGCTACACGGCACTCCATGGTATGGCTCATGGAGACCTTTATTGACGGTAATAGCACCTTTCTTCTTTCCATCATGTAGCCTCTACTCAACATTTGAAGGGAACCCAGCAGATCCAGCCACCCTGGGTGTATGGAAGGGATGCCTGCTCTGGGGAAAGGCAGGCAGTTGGGAATCAAAGAGAACCACCCAACAAAGCATCCATCCCAGCCAGAAGGAGAAGCAGGCAGGGTGGAGGGGCTGGACGCACTCCTGTCCCTTACTTCAGAGAAGAGTCATGACATCACCGTTCATTTGCCCCGAATTCTCAGAACTCAGCACATTGCTTTGTACCGGGACTGTTAAGTGCTCATTGCAAAGCCAAATACCACCGCTAGGGGGCTGCTGCTTTCAATCGGCCGCGCGTCCTGATCTTTGCCTGAGCAGGAGGGACGGAGAGGGGACTTCACAGATTTGGACACGTCCGTGGACACCCACGTCAGGAGAACATCACGCCCCGTCCTGTGGAAGTGTGGTTTGATTGAAAAGCTCCCACACTGAAATAAGTGACACACTGGACAGCTTCTATAGTCTCCTGTCACCATTGGGATCCGTGGGACACGGTATTAGAGGAGGCCAGACTCCCGCATGACGTTCCTCTGGTGCCCACCAGAATGGATGGATGGGGGGTGTTCAGGTATTGAAATGCTTGTGGACTGGCTGGTAAGCAGCTACTGGTCTGTGTCCCCAAGTGACCTCCCGGCCTCCTTGGCACCCCAGCGACTCCTCCCTGACCCTCGGGACCTTTCTAGGGTCAGGCATCTAATGGTCATCACTCGGTGGTACAAGAGGCCCCTGGGTCTCCAGATGAGATCATGACCTGAGCCAAAGTCAAGACACTTAACTGACTGAGCCCCCCAGGGTCCCCTCATAACCTTTTTAAAAAATACACGATTGGGGCCCCAGGGTGGCTCCATCGGTTGAGCATCCAACTTTGGCTCAAGTCATGATCTCACGGTTTATGGGTTCGAGCCCCGCATCGGGCTCTGTGCTGACAGCTAGGAGCCTGGAGCCTGCTTTGGATTCTGTGTCTCCCTCTCTCTTTCTCTGCCCCTCCCCCACTCATGCTCTCTCTCAATGTCAAAAATAAATAAATGTTAAAAAAAAATTTTTAATTAAAATATAAAAAAATATATGATCATTAACTAACTGGAATTTAAATAAAATTTTGGAAGAAAAAAATGGATGATCAGTAATTTTCTATAACTTTATTTATCATTGCTGTATCATATGTCATCGTTTATTCAATCCATCCCCCATGGCAGGTGTGCGTTTTACTTCCACGGCCTTTCTCTGCAGAGCAAACAGGTAATATTTGGATTTTCCACAGATAATTACAGACGGTGGCCCGAGGAGTAAGGACAAGGCATTCAGCTCATATCGGGAACTTGCTGAAAGCAGAACCCACAGGTGACTTCACAGGTACCAGAGCTGGGAGACACCTCGGAATGTTCCAGTACCTTAGACCAGCATTAGGGAACCTCCAGATGGGAGGCCAAGCAGCTGCCCCGCCCAAAAAAAGAATTTCAAGCAGGAGAGAGAAGCAGCAACCATGACAGTGACAAAAGTGACCCACACTGCAGGCCAGGTGAGTGCCTTGTTCTGAGTCAGAAATGTTGTGCAGAGACCCCATACATGGAACATGCGTGGCCACAGTTTCTGGGCAGACCCAGCCCTCATTTGGCATCAGCCCGCACGGGAGAGGACCCTGGACCACACCAAGTCGGCCACTCCTTCAGGAGGCCCCGTCCCCAAACATGGGCTTCGGTGTGGCCCTGCAGCCGGCTGGGTTAGTGCTCCCCGGGCGTGGAAGGGCACACGGAGCTGGCCTGGGCAGCGGCTTGTCACCCAGCCGCTCCGCTGTCACCTCGGCCACCCAGTCTCCACTTCAGCCCCCTCTTGGGCCACTTTTCTCTTTTCTGTCCTTCTGCCTTTTCAAAAAAGTGATAATACACTTACTCTCTTCTCAACAAAAGTAATACATGTCTGTAACAGAAATTTTTATTTTTATTTTTTTAATCTTTATTTATTTTTGAGAGAGAGAGAGCAAGCGCAGGGGAGGGGCAGAGAGAGAGGGAGACACAGAATCTGAAACAGGCTTCAGGCTCTGAGCTGTCAGCACAGAGCCTGATGCGGGGCTTGAGCCGTGAGATCATGACCTGAGCTGAAGTTGGACACTTAACCGACAGCCACCCAGGCGCCCCTGTGACAGAAAATGTTAAATACATCTGAACAAAATGAAAAAAAGAAGAAAGTCATCTGTAACATTGACTGTCCTTGCAGCATTTGTTTCTAAGCCTCCATACACATTTTGTCCAGTATTCAGATTTCTCTAAAAAAAAGGGCAAAAAACAGGCGGGGAACCTCCTGGGGGCCACAGCTACCTGCCTCCGGGACTTCACCTTACCTGCCTTTCAGGTGGGAACCAAGACAGGACGATGGCAATACCTCTCTCGGCCACAGGAGGGGGGTGTTTGCTCACGCACGTCCTGTGCTTTCTGCTCGGGTCCAGAGCTGGCAGCTGCCGGCTCCCGTCGAAGGCACCGCAGTCAGTCCTCGATTTATGGCTCCTACTGCTCACTGCATCTCTTGGAAACCTTCTTGGTCCACGAGGGGCAGAAGGACAGAAGTCACTGTTTCTCCACATCTGCCTGAATCCTCGGAATCCTCAGACAGCTCTCTCCTCGCTGTCGCAGCCTGGGGCTGCCCAGGAAAGGGGTGAACCACCAGCCTCCTGGGGTCATCTCCACGCTTACCCTCCTTCACAGTTTCCCATCGTCCTCGGTCCTCCCGCGCTGTTGGCTCGCACACACCACGCTGGCGGCCTTCGCGCCCCTCTGCCTCTGCTCCATCACATGGCACACCTTCCCGCATGTTCCTCTCTGCACCCCAGGCTGATGCTTCCTCTTTCGGGTCTTGGCCGGCCCGTTGCTTCTTCCCAGAAGTCACTCTCGGCCCTGCGAGTCTGGGCTACGCGATTCTCCTCTGTGCTTCCGCGTGCTTCCCTTCCAAAACCCATAGCGTGCTGGATCGTCCACCGCCCCCTAGAACGAACGGAAGCAACGTGAGGGCCGGGGCCACGTCCGTCTTGCTCACTGGCATCCCTGGCGCCTGGGGCTCCGTGGGGCTCCGTGGGGCTCCGTACGAGTTCGCTGGATGGATGAAGGAGTGAGCGAGTGTGCCTTTCCCTGTTCCCTGAAGTAGAGTCTGCAGACGCCAGTCCTCGTCCCTCCTTCCGTCCCCCTCCCCCCAGGTCACCAGGTACCGCTCCGGTCCCCTGTGTCTGTGGAAACGCAGACCGAGGAAGATGCAGTGCTGAAGGGCAGCTGACTGCCTGTGGCGGCGGGGAGACAGAGGCGCGAGGAGCGGGACACCCCTGGTGTCAGACCCCGGCTCTGCCACTTCCCGGCTGTGCCCGTGCCTCATTTTCCTTATTTACAAGGTGGTGCTGACGGTACCGGGCTTGCAGGGCTGCTCTGAGAAGTCGAATGCTAGCCTGGCCGGCGGCCGGCAGTCACGAAGTCAGACCTGTGCCTCCGTCTCCCCTGCGCACTCTCCCGAGGCACACACACCCCCCCCCCGCTATCTCTGAGGCACTACCCTTTTCCCGATTCCCTTCTCCTTTCCCCACGGTCACCCACACCGCTTGTCACTGACACCTCCCCGTCCCGTGTCCTTTATCCCCAGCACGGGTAATAGCACCAGGCGCAGCACGGACGGGATGCAGAAAGTGTGCCCGTGGCGTGGCTGGACGGATGGAGGGACGAGTGAACCAGTCACAGCAGCGCCTCTGGGATGCATTCACCGGTGGTGGTACGTGTGATGATAGTCACCAGTGGACAAGTGGCCTCCTGCCTGCCGGATGACACCAGGGACAGGTGGGGCTTATGTGAAGGCAGGCTGCCAGCCACACCCTCATGAGGCCAGGGCAAGAACAGAAAAGGTGACACCACCCTTGATTGAATGGCCAGGAAGGAGGAGGGGCGATGAGGAAACATCGCAGCCATGTGGAAAGGCCCAGAAACACGGAGCCCCAGAGCCCTGGTTCTTCTCTTCTGCTCAGCGTTGTGGACCCCAAGGACGACACATGCGCGACTGACCCTGAGCAAACAGTCCTACAGGTGTCTGCATTCCTTACAGATAGATGGTCTGTGGTCCCACCGCTGGGGCTAAAAGTTCAAGTTCCAGCCAAATCCTTCTCTAGGTTTCTTCCTTTCTTTCTTCCTTCCTTCCTTCCTTCCTTCCTTCCTTCCTTCCTTCCTTCCTTTCGTTCTTTCTTGTCTTTCTTTCTAATGTTTATTTATTTCTTTTGGAGAAAGCACAAGCGGGGAAGAGGCAGAGAGAGAGGGAGGGAGACACAGAGTCTGACGCAGGCTCCAGGCTCTGAGCTGCCAGCACAGAGCCCGACTCGGGGCTCGAACTCACGGACCTCGAGATCATGACATGAGCCGAAGTTGGACGCTTAACCGACTGAACCCCCCCAGGCACCCCTCTAGATTCCTTTCATGGTGCTTTTCTCTGATATGAACATTTTCTGTGCTGCAGCCCCCCGTGGGCCCCTGTGAGCTCCCTCATTCCGAGGAGCGCCAGCCAGGATCTTAGGGGGATGAAGAAAGGCTGACTTCTCCTCAGATGATCATGGCCCTCGATTCACTGCATTTGAAAGATTTAGCTCCTGAAGGGCTCATCTGCTGTAGGGCGAGGTCTGTGCTTTCTCAGAGCATCGCTCCTCTGCTCGCAGAGGCCAGTTTCTCCCGCGTGACACTCGGGAGGTTGGCCTGATGTGGCTTGGGCTCTTACGTGTCCCGCGCGCCCCTCCCCTGTGACTTTCTCGTCTCTGAGAGCTGCTCGCCTCCTCCTGAGGGTTTTCCTCCGTGGCTGCCATTCACAGAGACTCTCTGTGGGATGGATTAGGAAATGAATGGAAATTTTCTTATTCGTAATAATAGTCAGAGATTTCCTCTGTACGAATTCTTTGACATCCTGTCAGAATCCTGCCCAGATGCGCGGCCACGCGTATCCTCCCAGCAGAGCGAGGTTTGGGCTTCGTGGTTTCCCAAAGCAATGCCTTTATCAGCCTAAAGCCTCTCGGGAGCGGCAGCGCCCCCTTCGAGGGGGGCCCCGTGGTTCTGCTGTGGCAGGAAGGCTGAGTGTTGGAGTCGACAGGATGTCCTCAGTCCTGGCCTCATACTGTGATGACACCATAGGAAATGAAACTGTCACAAGTCCCCATTTCCATGGGGCGGGCACCCGGGTGGCTCAGTCGGTTAAGCGTCTGACTCTTGGTTTCAGCTCAGGTCATGAGCTCACGGTTGTGTGAGAGCCCCGTGTTGAGTCCGTGCTGACAGCAGGGAGCTGCTTGGGCTTCTCTCCCCGTCTCTCTCTGCCCCTCCCCTGCTTGTGCTCGCTCTCTCTCGCTCTCTCTCTCTCTCAAAATAAATAAACTTAAAAAAAACAACAACAACAAAACACCTAAGTCCCCATTTCCAAGAAACAAAGCTCTGTGACTGCACCAACCTCCCGGCCTCTGGCTGTCTCCTCTGGTGATGGCTGAGCGAGAGAAGGCGCTGCGGCTTGAAGCCTTTCTTTCGCGAGGGGGTGATGGGCCAGCTGCGTTCTGAGCGCCCGTGGTCACGGCCCATGTCACGGGTCCCCCCAGAGTGCAGGCCTGCCCGGTGCTCTGAATTTGCCCACCCTCCTGTCCTGGCCCAAAGCCCACCTCTTCCCTGAAGCCCTCCCGGGACTCTGCAGGCCTGCAGTTAGACTCCCCGCTCCGTGCTTCCATAAGAACGCACGGCCCACAAAACGCCCTAGCCGGCACTCACGCAGTGTTCTAGGCCTTCGTGACCTTTCTAGGCCTTCTCCTTCTCAAACAGACTTAAAGGAAGCTCTGTGAGGAAGAACCGCATCTCGTCCTTGGTATTCTCCGTGGCTCCTCTGAGCACCGCAGGACTTGGGGTGGAGACTGGCTGTGGCTGTGGACGCTACGGTCCAAGAGGACGGGCTCGCCGCTCAGCGAGCTCGTGGGTGGAGGCGCACCTGTGACTGAAGACGTGGCCTGCCTTCTCCGGGACGGTGGCCGGCTCAGGCAGGAGGAAGGTGACCTCGTCCTTGCTGCCACCCCTTCCCCCCGCCCCCCCAACCCCAGGCAGCCTTGCCACATTCGCCCCGATACCCAGAGGCCGCTGCTGCATCCCGTTGCCTCTGCCGCTGCCTGGGCGTGCCGTTGGGAGGGGCGGCAGGGAACAAGCAAGAAACGGGTATGGTCGTGAAGCCGCCCGCGCAGCGTTCTGGTTAAGTACGGTAGGCGTAGGGACCAGCTCTCGATATGAACTTGTAGCCCTTTGAGGGCAAGGCCTATGTCTGAAGCAGCTCTGTGTTCACAGCGCCTGGCTTAGCACCTGGCACATAGTAAGGATTCACCTGGCGTGGAGCAGGCAGGTGCCCCCGTAGTTACCGGCAGCCAGGGAGTTCGTGAAGGTAACAGAACGGATGTTAGTGACCGTCCTGAAGTACCCCCTCCTCGGAGCCCCCCAACCCCCAACGAGTGCCTCCTCCCCTTGGCATATGGCGAAGGCCTGGGTCCCAAGCACAGAACGCACCCAGCGCCCCTTTTCTTTCGTCAGCTGCAGAGTCCCTGCCTCCCCCGTGGACAAGGGACAAACCCTGTGTGCACATGCAGGGTTTTGTATAGCCTCGGAGCTCTCTTCTGCTTTCGTTTACAGCTAGTAAGTTAGAAATGTTGTTGGCCAGATCGTAAGAGCTAGTCCCAGATGCTGGCCGTGCTCATGGAACCCGCATCTCCTGGGAGCCCGGGCTGCTTCTAAACTGCTGGACCCCGAAGTCGGTGAAGATGTGAGCACGCCACTGAGGGTTAAGGAGAGAAAGAAAAAGAAAGGGAGGGCCCTTGCCGGCCACCCCTCTATCTGTTGCCAGGGGCCTTTGCGCTCTCGTGATTGTCCCGGGGCGGGAGCGCAGCCGCCGCCAGGGGTCTCCAGGCTTGGAAGCTTGGAGCTGGAATGTCATTTCCAGATTTCCAGTGGGTCTCTGGAGTACGCTCTCAAATTACTCCCCTGATGACCATCCCAGCGCTCGACCGGATAGAAATTCATGCAGGCAGGTAGAAGGGATGGAAATGGCTAATCAGGTGAAGGCACTGGGGGTGCAGGGCGCTGGAGGGGCAGGTGACGCTAAGCTCAGTGCCCCCGGGGAACTGGCGAAGCTGCTCCAGAGGCTTCTAGAAAACGCTCGAGAAACCAGGTCTAGAAAGAAAGCCACAAAGGGCTTCATGATACGTAAAGGCCCCCCGTTTACCTGCTGCCCCCCACCCCGTGGAGGACACCAATGGAGCCCCGCTTCCAGAAAGGCCAAGCCAGGCTCTTGGTGGCTTGCTCGGCAGCCGGTTCTCCTCACTGGGCCTCGGAGACACTGGGCGCGAGCGTGAGGCTCTCAGGGTAACAGCGGCCACCCTGCATCTAGTGCCCGCACTGCCAAGGGCTTCAGGCACAATGTCTCTCGTGACCCCCCAACAGCCCTGGGAAATAGGATGTTCCTGTCCTGGCGCTAGAATGAAGAAAGGAACTTAGGTTAAATAATTCACCCAACAGCACGCAGCTGCTAAGTGGAGGGGCAGAGGCTCAAATCCGGGTCTGCCCCTCAGTGCCTGAAGGTTCTATGTGGCCCGTTGTGGGATTGTTCCTTGCGTCACTGGAATCGCCAGCCCGCTTTCTCCCCTTGTTGTGTGGCCGCATCGAAGTGGCCCTCCGTCCACAATCCCTTCTGCAGCCTGTCAGAGTCAGAAAATGGCCTCTAAGAGACCAAGTCTAGTAGGTACTGAACCTCCCGATGCCGGTGACAGCCACGTTCGCGAGAGACCTCCCACTTCCTGCCGGCAGTCACTGGAATTTCTGCTTTGGGGATTTGGGGAGACACTCAAGTCACGCAGACACAAGAATCTATGATTCTGCTCTCGATGCTGCGAGTCAGGGAAGCAGGCCGAGCCTCTAGAGCAGGAACGAGTTAGGTCTGCACAGCCGTGTCTGGGCCTCAGCTGGAGCGGCCCAGGTGGCTGCATTTGGCTAAGGTGGCCGGACTGTGGCCCGAGTTCGGGGACCTTGGTTCTGTCTGCCAGCTGGATTCCTCCTCTTCGTGTGGCATCCACCGGAGTGGGGCCAAAATGTCCAAAATGGCCTTTTCACTCTTGTGTCCGGGGCTTCCGTGTTCTCCCTTGTGGCCTCTCTCTTCACAGAGTGACTGAATCTTCGCACAGCGTTGCTCCGGGCTCCACAAACCCGCGATCCACGCTCTTTGGTGCCACCGAACCGGCCTTGCCCCGCGTCCCTTCTGCAGGGGCGCTGCTGCCTCGGGGCTGTGTTGTATCACATGACCCTGCCTCCTCGCCCCTCCCCCCCACAGGTCATCGGACCAGGAGCCAGTAGAGGCTGGCCAATGACATTCGAAGTCCCCTGGCTGGCTCAAAAATTCGAGGAATGCCAGTTAGACCAATCAGATTCCCCTTTGGGGACATTGGCACCAAAAAATCAGACAGTATCGTCACAGTGCGTGACAGGATGTCGTGAGGACCAGTAGGGCCTGGATGGACCAATGTGCTGGCCAGGATTAAACTGAAGAAGAAACTCGGGACATAGAAGAGAAACAAGGCTGTGACACAAGAGAACGTACTGAGCGTGGAGGGAACCACAAGCCTGTTACTGGTGAGGGGAGAAAGGAGGGACTCGCCAGAGCAGAGCCGAGACCTGTGAGAGGCCGAGGAGGAAGCCAGCCCCAGGGCACCCCAGTGCCTTCTGGTCCCCAGGCCCTGCCTGGCCATGTGTGTTATGGCAGCAAGCCCATTACTTACTCCCTTGGCTGTCAGGTGGCTTTGAGGTGGGCATGTGACTTCGTTCTGTGAATAAAAATTTATGAGGAAATGGCTTGAGGACCTTCTGGGAAGAAATTTGCCTTTTGATTAAAAGGAGAATGGTGAAGAGGCCTGTCCCTCCTTCCTGCCTTGAACATGGATGTCGGAGGACATGATACTTAGGACTGTAGCCGCCATCTTGAGACCCCAAGGCAACCAGACCAAAGGAAAAAGCCAACATACCAAGGTTGGCCTAACAGACAGACAAAAAGAGCCTGGGTCCTTGATGATAGCGTTGAGCCACTATACCTATCCTGGAACCACCGACTTCCAGTCTTATTGATATATTAAGTGTCCTTATTTTCTAAGAAGATTTCTGCTATTTGGAACTAAGGCATTATTAACCAGTATAGCAGTCTTCTGAACCTGCCCGTCATCAACTCCTTCGAGCACCATGGTTCTTGGTTTAGATCCAAATGGAAACCCACCCCAAACTTAGCCAGTGGAAAACGTACTTACATGGTAGGAAATACAGGTCAAGATTTCTCACAGCCTACAGAGCAATTCTAGCACTTAGTCCCAAATCCCAGGGCCTGTTGGACACAAATGAGGAAAGATAGACTCAGGAAAGATCTAGATACATGGCGATGAGTCTTCTTCTAAAATGGGGCTCAGTGATGAATTTGGGGATGAACAAGTTCAGTGGAGGGAGAGAGGGAGAGCCTAAGCATGGGCCAGAAAGCCATGGAAAGCACATGGAGGGAGCAGCGAGCTTGAATGGGCAAATGGCAGTGGGTCAGATCACTTCTGCAGGAGGCCAGGGTGCACAGCAGGATTTTCTAAGCGCCAAGTACTAGCTGGGAGGGGCTTATCGCAACTGGAACTAAACTGGGGGGAAACTAGGCATTTTAGCGAACCCTCCTGCCAGCCCTACTGGCATTTTAGATCCTCTGAGGAACAAGGTGGCCTGAATTGTGGCCCTTCCCCGTGTGCGGGCGCTGCCCCCCTGCCCCCCATGCTCTTCACTCTGTCTCTTCACCTGTCCCTTTTTCTCCACCATTTCTTCCTGTCTTCTCGGCAAAGCTAGGAGCCAGGAATGCACAAGGCCTGAACCTCTTCTGCTCAGTTACAGAGTAAAGATAGTGAGAAGCAAGGATGTCTTTAGGAAACATTGGAGCTTCATCTGGGGATCATGTGAGTTAGCTTGAGAGGAGGGAAGAAGTGGGCTGCTAAGAACTAGATGAAACTTTCTTCTGCCCCAACTCTGATCGAGCCGTGGGGCTGGGGCCGGGGTGTGCTTCTTCAACACACAAGAAAATGTATGGTCCTTCCTTCCCTTATGAAAGGGAAGCTGAATTCAAGAAGAAGTTGAACTCAAGAACTCTAGGCCTTCCTCTTTCGATTTCCAGTTTCAGATACACAAGAAAGATAAAGGGGCGTCCTCCTCAGACGTTCAGAACTTGAAGAAGTCATGCGTTTGGCATCTCCAGATCATCAGTAGTAGAGGTGTGGCCTATGGAAGGTCATCGAATAAATAGGGCCCAAACACGGATGTGTCGCGATGACATTCGAATTTGTGACCGGCAGATTGTGCCGCTAAGCCTCGTTGTGCCACTAAGCCTGTGTACCGCGGGGATCCTCCCCACCGGGGGCCAAAACCAGGCCAACCCTGGTGTTTGTCTGCTGTGTTACTTCATTCATTTAGCAGAAGTGTACTGAATGCCTAGTAGAATTATAAGCCAAGCATATAAAAGCAATGGTACTATTAGGAAAATACGTTACTAAAGACAAAAACAATTCCTGACATAATCAGAGAAAAGAATGGAAGCTCAGGGGTGGATGAAACAAAAAGTTTAACCCCCTCCTTTGATGTGATTGATGCTTCAATGTGATATACTTAGTAAATGCTGACTTCCCCGCCCCACCCCCAGTCGCCCCATACATTGCAAGGGTTTCTCTGAAATCCAGTAAGGAAAAGAACTGGAGGCTTTTCTTCCCTCTTGGTAATCAAGGTTTTTTCTCCAGTATGAATTAGCCTGATTACGGATTAATCACCCTCCCACAGTCTGTACAGCACAAGAGTGTCTTTCCCGTGAATTCTCCAGTGACAAGAAAAGGCTGCATGATCCCTAAATGACTTTCCACATTGATTATACTCACAGGCTTTTCTCCCAAGGATGAATGATCTCGTGTTCAATACGCTCCGCGCTTCCCCTAGATAGTTCTCCATATTCATCACACGTGACCAACTCATGTCCCCACTAAGCTAGCTGACGTCGTCTAAGGACGGAGCTCGGGTTGAAGGCTCTCCCTCACCCATTATGCTCGCAGAGCACCTCCCTGCTCTGAGATCCCAGATGTCTAATTAGCTCTGAGCTTCTCAAAGCATTTTCACAGCCATTACGCACATGTGGTTTTTCTCCAGTGTGAATTCTCTGACGTTGAATGAGCTCTGCTTCCCTGAAAGCCCTCACATTTATTGCGTCTGTAGAGTTCCTGTTGTTTGTGAACGAGCTGATTCCGTGTGGTACTAGAATACTGGCAGACGCCTCCCCAGATCAGGATTCTCTGCAAGAGAAATGTTCCAGCATTCAGTAGGATGGGAGCCCCCCCCCCGCCCCCCGTCGTGAAAGTTGCCTGTATTCATAATGAGGTGTTCTCTCCAATACGGATACTGTAATACTGAATAAATTCTGACCTCTGATCTAAGATCTGGTCACATTTATTTTGGGGTTTTCTCACTTCTAAAAGATACAGGTGGGGGCACCTGGGTGGCTCAGTCGGTTAAGTGTGCGACTTCAGCTCAGGTCATGATCTCACGGTCCGTGAGTTCAAGCCCCGCATTGGGCTCTGTGCTGACAGCTCAGAGACTGGAGGCTGCTTCGGATTCTATGTCTCCCTCTCTCTCTCAAAAATGAATAAACATTAAAAAAAATTTTTTTTAAAGATACAGGTGGAATTGCAAATTATCCCCATATTCATCTCAGTCGTGGGATGGGGTCCCTGATGGTTTTCTGGAAAGTCTCCATATGCACAGACCTCTCCATGCTCAGGGACCAGGTCGTCCTCCCACGGGCACCTTCTCGCTGCATTCACTTGCGAGTCTACTGCTGCAGAAAGTTCCTGCTTCAGGGCCAAGCTTGCTCGTGGTCACAGCAAATGTAAATACCAACCTTTCTCTCTTAAAGAACCAGAACATGTCTTAGACCGAGAATGAAAGATTTGGGGAGAAAATCGAAGGGTAAAAGTGGCCTTTGGGTGAATTTATAAAATGATGCGTGTGACAGGCGGCTCGTTACTTGTATTCCCCTTCCCTTTTTTAATGAACCCTATTTTGGTCACACTTGAGAATGTACCCATTAAAAATACCTGCTAGGGGTGCTTGGGCAACTCAGTCGCTTAAGCATCCAACTCTTGGTTTTGGCTCAAGTCATGATCTCACGGTTTGTCAGTTTGAGCCTGAGTTGGGCTCTGTTGCTGACAGCTGGAGCCTGCTTGGGATTCTCTCTCTCTCTCTCTCTCTCTCTCTCTCAGCCCCTCCCCACACCCACGTGTGCGTGCTCTCTCTCTCTCTCAGATTAAACTTAAGAAAAAAAAACCTCTAGTGACTCAGAGGGAGCACATGGGGACATGGAAGGAGGCTGTTTGTACTCTGTTCCGGATGCTGTTCAAATGGATGTGTTCACTGTGTGAAGATCCACAAGGAGTAAGCTTAGGATTCACGCATTTTCTATGAGGAAAGTTGAAAGTAACTTTACTGTACCCCTGTGCAGCCAGCAAATGAGCTGTAGGCGGAACTAGGCTTCCATGAAAACTCATTAAAGGATTGGGGCAGGTGGGCTGGAGCAGAAACCTTTTGCCTTTTCCCTGCCTGCCTCGCCCCCCCCCTTCTTCTCGAGGGTCCTGGAGGTGCCACCTTCAGGTGCAGGAGCCATCCTGGGAGCGGGGAGGAGGGTCACATACTGAAGATGGCACCCCAGCCTCAGGAAGGTGCCCGGTCCCTGTGGCCTTGAACTTCTCACCCCTGGAATTCTCACTTATTTCAGTCTAGTGGGTGAGAAGTGATTGACATTTAGGTTAGGCATCTTTCCCTGTGTTCACTGCCTCTTGCATTTGATTCTGTTCATCTTTGTCTTTGTCCCTTTGCAGAAGTTCTGCGTTCATTGAAGGCATTCTCCCTTTGCGTGTCAGTCGTGTTGTAGCATCCTTCCAGGCTGGTCATTTGTGTCTTGAGTTTGTGTTAATACCCCGTGAAGATTACTACATTTTGACTTTATAGCTTCTGAATTTTGCACATTAAAACACCCACCCCGCTCCAGAGTTCTTAAAATGTTAATCCTTCTTGCCAGTGCTTTCAGAGTTTTACTGTTTTATGATAAAATCTTGGTTCCATGTGAAATTTCCTGTGAAGTAAGGACCTATCGAGATAAAGGTCTGGCTCTCCCCTCCCCCATCACCTCTCAGCACAAAACTACCTTGTCTCGGCTATTTTGAAATGCTACTTTTGTTAAGGGTTCAATTCCCGTTTGAATGTGGGTCTTTTTCTTGAATCTCTATTTCATGTGTGCACCTTCTCCGGTACATAATTATTTTAGCTATTTTTCTTTTTTCTTTTTTTTTTTCAATGTTTTTTTTTTATTTTTGGGACAGAGAGAGACAGAGCATGAACGGGGGAGGGGCAGAGAGAGAGGGAGACACAGAATCGGAAACAGGCTCCAGGCTCCGAGCCGTCAGCCCAGAGCCTGACGCGGGGCTCGAACTCACGGACCGCGAGATCGTGACCTGGCTGAAGTCGGACGCTTAACCGACTGCGCCACCCAGGCGCCCCATCTTTTTAATTAAAAAAAATTTTAATGTTTATTTTTGAGAGAGAGAGAGACAGCGCATCGTGAGTAGAGGAAGAGCAGAAAGAGTCCGAGGAAGCTTCCAGGCTCCGGGCTGCAGAGCCTGCCTGACTCGGAGCTCGAACTCACGAACTGTTCAGACGTTTAACCAACTGAGCCACTCAGGCGCCCCAGCAATTTTTCTTTATAAGTTGTTTTCCTATCTGCTAAAGCTACTGCCTCATCGCTCTTTTTCAAAACTCTCATATAACCACTAAGGTGGATAAGTGGGAGTCGGTGACAGTCACTCAGATTACCATGATGCCAGGGACTGTGCAGGGCCTCCTGAATACAGATCATATTCTAACAATAACCTCATTTTAGACAGCCCCCCTTTTCCTCTGCGATGTATTCCTGGAACCATTTGGTAGCAAAAGTCGAATTTCCTCTTAATAATTACTCATGTCCAGAAACTCAACATCAAGTTACAGTTCTGATAAATATGTCATAAAAGCAGAGCCAAAACTTAGGGTGGTCTTTAGGAATATAAAAGGGCAACATTATGCTTCATGTCCTATGGCGTGGACATATGGGGACTCAAGATGATAATGTCACAGGTCTCCGCATGCTGTGAAGTCAACACAAAGCCCAGACCGTTCTGCCATCCTGTGCCATCCGAAAATAGCCCTCTCCGTGTCAAGAGGACAAATACGACATGAACAGGTGTGCTTCCCTTTTTGGAATTTAGGAGATTCGTGAGGAAGTCATGTGTAAGATCCAAGTTTCTTTTAAAATAAACTTTCCAGGGGCACCTGGGTGGCTCAGTCCATTGAGTTGAGCGTCCAACTTTGGCTCAGGTCATGGTCTCGTGGTTCATGAGTTGAAGCCCCACGTTAGCCCCGGAGCCTGCTTAGATCCTCTGTGCCCCTCTCTCTCTGCCCCTCTCCTGCTCACACACTCTCTCTCAAAAAATAAACGTTAAAAAAAAAAAAAAACTTTCCAGAGAAAATGAAAATGATTCCATTTCTTCTGGTAACTTTCCCAGAAACAAACAGAAGCATTCAGAAGAATTCCATTGTTCTTACAGCTGCATAGGATTTTTGGCTTTTCCTAAAAATGGCTAGTCTAATATTTAAAGGCTGAGGTAGGACAGTGGTTTTGAGTCCATGGAATTATTAAGAGAAATAGTCTCTCGAACCATGCCTTTCATCTTTGCTGCATAAATGCTTTCTATTGGGGTAGTGAACAAAATGAAATGTTTGGAAAAATATGGGCCCAGAAAAGATTAATTCCTCTAATAAGCCAGAATTTGGAAGAGGAAAACATGATATGATGTAAGTGTAAAAAAAAAAAAGGAAACAAAAAACAAAACAAAACAAAACAAAAACAAAGGAAACAAATTATATTAGCTGTACACAGTGACTTCCTTCCGAAGAGTACAGTTTGCGATGGGGGGTGAAGTGCAGATGGCTTTGCACAGGAGGAGCCCGACAGACCCCGCCCCAGCCAGGCAATGAAGGTCAACATCAAGTGATCAGGCTTGCTGATAGTATGTACCCTCCAGACATGATGACAATGGCCCTTTACCTCCATCACGGTCTTTGTCCCCCAAACCCATAACTCCAATCTAATCAAGAGAAAACACCAGAAAAATCCCAGTGAGGACACTGTACCAAATACCTGATTCCTCAAAACTGCCAAGGTCATCAACACCAAGGTAAGTCAGAAAAGCTGTCACATCCAAGAGAAACCTGAGAAATAACAATGAAATGTAATGTTGTATCCTGGGTGGGATCTTAGCAAAGAAGTAAAAGATATTAAGAGGAATCGAATGGATGTTTTGGAACTGAAAAATACAATAACCAAAATTAAAAACTCACTAAACAGTCTCAATAACAGGATTGAGGGACACAAGAATCAGTAAATGAAGATTGATTGATAGAAAGTACCCAAACTGAACAATAGAGAAAATGGACTGAAGAAAACAAACAAAAAACCACAGACTCTTTGGGACCTGTGGGACAATAAGAAAAGATCTACCATTCATGTCATTGGAGTCCCAGAAGAAGAGAGAGGGGAGCAGAAAAAATATTAAAAGAAATAATGGTTGTTATTTCCCCAAATTTGGCAAAAGAGAGAAACCTACAAATTCAAGAAATGAAAAGAGGACACAATCAAACTTTTGAAAACTCAAGACAAAAAATCTTGAAAGCAGCTATGATGTTTCTTGAAAGAAACAGTCTGTTACCTAACGGTATGACTCAAATGACAGCAGATTCCCCCCAAAAGCCGCGGAAGCCAGAAAGAAGTAACACAACATTTTCAAGTCCAAACAAAAAAGACCTGTCAACCCAGGATTCAATATCCAGCAAAAATATCCTTTAGGAATGAAGAGAAAAGACACTTACACTTGCAGGTGAAGGAGAACTAAGAAACCTACCCTAAAAGAATGAATAGAAGAAGTTCTTCAAACTGAAAGGACATGATAGAAGAAGAAATGTGGAACATCAGGAATTAAGAAAGAACAATGATAATGGTAAAATGATGGGCGAACATAACAGATTATCCTTCTCTTGACTTTTTGAAATTCTGCTTAATAGACAAGGCAACAAGCATAACAACATCATCACCTGATATGGTTCTCATTGTATGCGAAAGAAATATGTAAGGCAATTATAAATGGGGGTGGGGGGTAAAGAGACCTAAATGGAGATAATATGGTTAAGTGTTTTCATACCAGTAGGCTGTTGTAGTAAGTTATGTATGTGTAACACCCAGGGAAACCACTGCAAAAACTACCATAGAAAGAGATTGTTGCTTCGGTCCCAGCCTGTTGATAGTAATGTTCTTGGTTAGGAATGCCAGAGCCCCGTAGACATCCCCTTTCCACCACCACCAGAGCCAGTGTTGTGGCTGGACCAGCCCTGTTGTTCTTACCGTGATTTGGCGATGTACTTCAGCAAAACCATTAGGGAACTCTGAAGAACAAGGTTTATTACAAGTCCTGGAGGGAACCTGGCACAGCCAAGGGCCACACATAAGGTCATGGGTTGAGAGGGAGGGAGAGAGAGGACCTGGGGCTCTGCCTTCATTAGGGTCTGAGGGTGGGGTACCTAGGGTTTCACAGGTAGGCTCTTTATTGGCAAATTTATGGCATAAGAGCAGGAATTGGGGCACAGGAAAGGAGAAATGAGATCACTCAAGTGGCCGGTTATCTATGTTACTCAGCGCTTTCTAAAAGGGAAACTTCATGGGTGGGGGTGGCCTCGTCCCTTCCTGTTTGTTTTGCTGGTAACTGTGCAATCCACCTGGCAGTATGTTAATTTGAGCTGGATGACTTTGCAATGGGTGCCCCGGCAATCGAAAGTTTAATGTCAAGCACTTACACTACAGAAATACACTCCAAATCAGTATAGATAAATCAGAAAGGAATTCTAAGAAATGTTCAGGAAACCCAGAGAAAAGCATGAAAAGGGAAACAGAGGAATGAAAACCAGAAAAGAAATGATAAAATGGCAAACTTAAACCCTAACATACCAAAATTACATTAAATGTAAATGGTATGGATGCACTAGTTAAAAACAAAGAGTGATGGGCACCTGGGTGGCTCAGTCAGTTAAGGGTCTGACTCTTGGCTTCTGCTTAGGTCATGATCTCATGGTTAATGGGTTTGAGCCCCACATCGGGCTCTGAGCTGAGGGCTGGGAGCCTGCTTGGGATTCTGTTTCTCCTCTCTGCCCTTCACCTGCATGTGATCTCTCTCTCTCTCTCTCATTCTCTCTCTCTCTCTCTCTCAAAATAAATAAATAAACTTAAAAAAATTAAAATAAAAACCGAGTGGGGCCAAGGCCAGTGAGAGGCCTCCTTGGGAAGGCTGCTGGAGCTACCAGGAGAGAGGCACGTTCTGTGCTCTGGAATTGCTAAACCAGGAGAATCAAAGGGTCAAGCTCCAGGACACCTGGGTGGCTCAGTTAAGCGTCTGACTTCTGCTTAGGTCAAGATCTCACCGTCTGTGAGTTTGAGCCCCGCATCAGGCTCTGTGCTGACAGCTCGGAGTCTGGAGCCTGTTTCAGATTCTGTGTCTCCATCTCTCTCTGTCTCTCCCCCACTCATGCTCTGTGTCTCTCTCTCCCTCAAAAATAAATAAACATATAAAATTTTTTTTAAAGGGGTGGAGCTCCAGGTGGCCTTTTGGTCACTTAAAAACAACACAATCCAACTATGTACTGTAGATAAGAAACTCACTTCAAATATAAAGATATATGTAGATTGAAAGTAAAAGGATAAAGATACACTATGCAAACATCAGTCAGTAGAAAGCAGTAGTGGCTATGTTAATAACAGATGAAGTAAACTTCAGAGCAATGAAAATTGCGAAGGATAGAGAAGGACATCACATACAGGTAAAAGGATCTATTCACCAAGAAGGCATAGCGGTCCTAAATGAGTGTGGACCAAACAACAGAATTCCAATGTACATGAAGCAAAGTTGATAGAACTGAAAAGAGAAATAGGCCAATCCGGAATTATAGTTGAGGATTTTTAACACCACTGTCTCAACAGTAGACAGAATTACTAGTGAGAAAACCGGCAAGGATATAGAACAACACTGTCATTCAGAAGGACCTAATTGATATTTATAGAACCACTCCACCCAAGAACAGCGGAATACTCATTCTTTTCAAGTGCACCTGGGGCATTCACCAAGATAGACTATGTCCTGGGTCATAAAACAAATTTCAGCAAATTCAAAAGAATTGAAATCATACAGAGTGTGACCTTTGATCGCAATAGAATCAAACTAGAAATCAGTAACAGAAAGATAGCAGGAAATTCTCCAACACATGGACACACACAATAATCCACGTGTCAAAGAAGAACTCTCAAAGGAATAAATCACATTGCACTGAAAATGGAACGTATCAAGATTTATGGGACATGGCCAAGGCAGTCGGAGAGGGACTTCTCTTCCAGAGAAGAGACCAGTGGTGAGGGTGATGTCCCACACCCAACATTCAACCCCAGTCTGCCAGTAGAAGTGGCTAGACACATACCAGAGATACAGCAGGTCAGGACATACAACAAGATGGCACCAAGTCAATGGCCTCATGACGATACACACTGAGGAGGCCCAGCAGCACCATGATAACAGTGCTGGTAGGGGAGCAGCGAAAAGCCCGTGTCAGGTCTCGCCTGTCCCTCTTCTGGTACATCGTAGAGGAATCAGTCCCCTTTCTTCCAGACCCAACGCCTGCAGCAAAGCAATCTTCCCCCAATTCTGTTGTCCAGAAACCCTAACATAGAATATACTCATCCTCTCCAGAGGCACCCCACCCCTTAGGTCTGCCCCTCATCTTCGAAAGAAGAGAAGATCTGCAAACCTTCTACTAAGTAGATGACCTACTTAGTTCTACCCCTTGAGAAATTCCCAATTAATTCTTATCACCTCACCAGTGCCCAGAGGTCAGGAACTGGGCACCTGTGACCAGCATAGCACAGAGCAGACCACGGTATGGATGGGAGAAGAGGGCATCCGCGTGGACGATCTTCCAGCCATTGTCACCCTGGTCAAAACCATCACCAGAACCTCCAGAGGTTACCTCCTCATCTAAGTTGTACCCAGTGAGGTCATTCCAAAGCACACGTGAGAATGACAGCCACAAGTGCCACCTGTGAGAACATGGGCACCCTGGAGTCGATGACGGACAGGCAGTAGATTTCCAGTGCTTGGGGGAAGAAGCCGCCACCATCAGCACCACGACCCTGCCACCCCCAACCTTCCACTGAAGTCTCAGACCAGCACACTCTGTAAGTGCGGATGAGGCCATCACCCAGCCAGGGTGTGGGACCTGAAACCCAACCCTGAGACATTGGCAAAATAATTCCATCTCCACGGATTCAATGTGAAAATCCAAAGGGATCTAGAGTCCTATCTTAGGGCCATGTGGCAGGAAGCCGCTGTCCTCCTTGTAGCCCACAAAGCCACCGATTGACAAGTCGTCCACCACAAATTCAAAGCATTGCAGCCTTGGTGGCCTGGCATTAACTGCGTCATGTACAAAGAGCCAGCTAGGAGTCAGACAAGGCCTCCCTGGGCATAGGATGAGAGCAGAGTTTCTCAACCTTGGCACTACTGACATTTGGACCAGATCATTCTTTGTTCTGGACAGGGCTGTCTTGACATTGGTGGGATATTTAGCAGCGTCCCTGGCCTCTTCCCACTAGATGCCAGTAGCACTCCTCCAGTTGTGACCATCAAAAAAAGTCTCTAGGGACACCTGGGTGGCTCAGTCGGTTAAGCATCCAACTTTGGCTCAGGTCACGATCTCTCCATTCATGAGTTCAAGCCCCGCGTCGGATTCTGTACTGATGGCTCAGAGCCCAGAGCCTGTTTCAGATTCTGTGTCTCCCTCTCTCTCTGCCCCTCCCCTGCTCACACTCTGTTTTTTTCTCTCTCTCTCTCTCAAAAATAAATCAACATTAAAAAAAATTCTTTTAAGAGATAGGATTCAATCAAGAAAAAGCATGACAAGGGAAGGTTAGGCAGAGAGTAAAAAGCCAGTTAAGAAAGAGCCGAGAGGGGCGCCTGGGTGGCGCAGTCGGTTAAGCGTCCGACTTCAGCCAGGTCACGATCTCGCGGTCCGTGAGTTCGAGCCCCGCGTCGGGCTCTGGGCTGATGGCTCAGAGCCTGGAGCCTGTTTCCGATTCTGTGTCTCCCTCTCTCTCTGCCCCTCCCCCGTTCATGCTCTGTCTCTCTCTGTCCCAAAAATAAATAAACGTTGAAAAAAAATTTAAAAAAAAAAAAAAAAAAAGAAAGAGCCGAGAGGTAGGGATGGAAGGCAACAGAATTACGTGGGTGTGATGGTTGGGACCTTATTGCCAAAAGAGAAGCTTGGAGCCAGGAGCCCTGGGCTCTAATATCAGCTTTGCAATTTTCTGTCCACGTGGTCCTGAAACAGGCACTTCTGAGCAGCTATGTTTCTTTGTCAACGCCAATAATAACGCCTGCCCTGCCTGCCACACAGGGTCGTAGTTAGAAATCACGTCAAATAATTTCCATGAAGATGCTCTGAAAACAAAACCAAAAAGAATAAAATATTGGCCATTCCCACGGACTCCAAAGAATAATAATAGGAGTAATAGGATAATAAGGGAACGTGTAAACAACTCTACCTGTATAAATTCAACAACTTGGATGAAATGGACCAATTCCTTGAAAGCTACAAACTACCAAAATTGCTCAGTTATGAAATAAATGATTTTAGAAGTCTTATAACAAGTTAAAAAACTGAATTCTTGGGGTGCCTGCATGGCTCAGTTGGCTAAGTGTCCAACTCCTGATTTCAGCTCAGATCATGATTTCACTGTTGTGGGATCGAGCCCCGAATTGGGCTCTATGCTGACAGCATGGATCCTGCTTGGGATTCTCTCTCTCCCTGGCTCTCTGCCCCTCTCCCACTTACATGTGTGCATGTTCTCTCTCTCTCTCTCTCTCTCTCTCTCTCTCTCTCTCTCTCTCTGTCTCAAAATAAATAACATTTAAAAAATGGGGTGGCTGGGTGTTCCAGTAGGTTAAGGGTCTGACTTCTGCTCAGGTCATGATCTCAGCTTCATGAGTTCGAGCCCCACATCGGGCTGTGTGCTGACAGCTCGGAGCCTGGAGCCTGCTTCGGATTCTGTGTCTCCCTCTCTCTCTGTCCCTCTCCCACTCCCACTCGGTCTCTCTTTCTCTCTCTCTGTCTCAAAAAATAAACATTAAAAAAATGCTTTTTTAATTTAAAAAGCAAACAAACTTAATTCTTAGTTTTAAGAAAACCCCCTGTCTCAGTGGTCTCACAGCTAGTCCATGATGCACTGGCAGAACCCATGGGACCCCACATAAAGTTATACTTCAGGTTAAGATTTATTACAGCAAAGGATACAATGCAGGAACAGCAGGAAAAAGATATTTATAAGCAAAGCCTAGAGAGGTCAAATGCGTGCTTTCTTATCTCTCTGTGGGGACAGTAGCACAGGCACACCTTCTCCATGTGCAAACAGCAGGAACATATGTGAGATGTCCTGGCCCAGGGAATACAACCCGAGTCTTGGGGTCCAAAGTTCTTTTTAATAAACTTTTTTTTAACGTTTATTTATTTTTGAGAGAGAGACAGAGACAGAGGACAAGCAGGGGAGGGGCAGAGAGAGAGGGAGACACAGAATCCAAAACAGGCTCCAGGCTCCGAGCTGTCAGCACAAAACCCGACATGGGGCTCGAACTCACGAACTGTGAGATCATGACTTGGGCCAAAGTCAGACACTTAACCGACTGAGCCACCCAGGCGCCCCAATCCTTACATTTATTTTTTTTTTTTAATTTTTTTTTCCAACGTTTATTTATTTTTGGGACAGAGAGAGACAGAGCATGAACGGGGGAGGGACGGAGAGAGAGGGAGACACAGAATCGGAAACAGGCTCCAGGCTCTGAGCCATCAGCCCAGAGCCCGACGCGGGGCTCGAACTCACGGACCGTGAGATGGTGACCTGGCTGAAGTCGGACGCTTAACCGACTGCGCCACCCAAGCGCCCCCTTACATTTATTTTAAACAGGCTGACAGCCTTTCTCTTCACCCTCTGCTTTGGGCATATGGAATAACATCTCACCGGCAGCTGTGCGAATGTTCCAGGAGTTTTGTTCTGAGTCTGCCCAAGGGTCATCACCATGGTTACACAGATAAGTGAGAAATGAGTGACACAGAGCTGCTGTGTTCACTTTTACCTCACATTCTCAAAATTGAGAAAATTGAGTTTTGAAGAACCTTGGTCTAGACAAAAAGTTCTTAGACCTGACACCGAAAGCAGGATCACCAAAGAAAATAGCTTTAAATTGTATCAAAATTAAAATTTTTGCTCCACAAAAGACCCTCTTAAGATGTTGAAAAGACTAGTTGCAGACTGGGACAAAACATTTGTAAGGCGCATATCTGGCCAAGGACTTGTATCTAGAAAATACTAAGAATTCAGCAATAAACAAACAAGCAAATAAAGCGCCCCAGATAATCGTGTTCAAAAATGGGCAAAATACATGAACAGGTGTTGCACCAGAGGTTATCAAATGTTCAACATCCTTAGCCATTAGGGAAATGCAAACAATGCGCTTAACCATTTATGGCCTGGCTAACACGAAAAATACTGGTAATAGCAAGTACTGGCGAGAATGCAGAGAAATCAGATCTCTTCTGTGTTTCCAAAGGGATGGTCGCTCTTGCCAGATGCCTGGGGCGCCATCAAAACCAACACCGCTTGCAGCCAAATTCCTACCTGCGCACCACCCCTGAAGTGTGAATTCAGTGTTCTCTTCCTCAGGAAGCCTGGGCTTGGTTTACTGCCTTCCAGGAACCTTTCCCCTGTGCCAAAAGAACGTGGGTTTAAGTCTGGTGTCACCTTACCCTGAGCTTGCGTGTTGGGTCCCTTGGACTTACGCTTTTCTGATCTTCTCAAGCTCGAGGCCTGTGAGCAGATCTATGGCTCCATTTTGCGGCAGCTCCCTGTGGAGTCGGCCAGTGCCTTCAGGGCAAAAGCAGTTCTGAGAGTTTATTCATACGCCAAAAACAAAGGCAGCTTCAACTAAACAGCTTCCGCACAACCGAGGAAACCATCAACAGGATGAAAAGGCAATGTATGGAGGGAGAGAGATTGGAAATCATATTTCTGGTAAGGGGTTAACCTCCAAAATATGTAGGGAACTCCTAAAAATCAACAGCAAAGAAACAACCCAGTGAAAAGTGGCAAAACGATCATTTGCAGCCACGTGGATGGAACTGGCAGGCATTATGTGAAATGAGCCAGTCAGAGACAATTACCATATGACTTCACTCATGTATGTGGAATTTAAGAGACAAACCAGATGAAGGGAAGCCAAGGGAAAGGAAACCAAAAGAATATAAAAACAGGGAGGGGACAAAACGTAAGAGACTCATAAATTTGGAGAACAAACCGAGGGTTGCTGGATGGGGTGTGGGAGGAGGGATGGGCTAAATGGGGAAAGGGCACTAAGGAAGATGCTCGTTGGGATGAGCCCCTGGGTGCACAGGGGATGAACCACTTGGAAGCTACTCCTGAAGTCATTGTTGCACTATATGCTAACTTACTTAGATGTAAATTTAAAAATTAATTAATTAGTTAATTGATTAGTTAATTAAATTTTTAAAAGGCAAAGGGACCCGAATGGCCCTTTTTCCAACAGGACAGACATTGAAAAGGCACTCGGGGCACCTCAGTCGGTTAAGCGTCCGACTTCGGCTCAGGTCATGACCTCACGGTTCTCAAGTTCAAGCACCGCATCGGGCTCTGTGCTGACAGCTCAGAGCCTGGAGCCTGCTTCGGATTCTGTGTCTCCCGCTCTCTGCCCCTCCCCCGCTCACACTCTGTCTCTCAAAAATAAGCGTTAAAAAATTAAAAAAATTTTAAAACGGCACTCAACATTACTAATCATTAGGGAAATGCAAACGCCAACCATGTGAGACATCGCCTCACACCTGTTTGGATGGTTATTATCAAACAAGACGAGATAACAAGCATCAGCGAGGGTGGGGGTAAAGGAACCCTAGGCTCGCCTCCTTCTCCCCCTGCAGTCCAAAGGGGCAACTGCTTTCTTGCCCCTCTTGACGCTGATGCCTCTCAGATGCTCACGTCCGCACAGGGCAGGCTCCCGACTCTGACGCCCGTCTGCCCCCAACTGTCCCTAAGTCAACCCTTCCCAGGACCGATGCAAGGATGCAAGTCTCTTTGTTCCCTGCCGCCATCCTCCCTGGTGCGGCCAGAGTGATGTTGCTAAGATGTCAATCTGATCGTGCTCTTCTCCTGCCCACAGCTTTCAGTGGCTCCCCACGGCCTACGGGGTGAAGTCCTAGCTTCTTTAACTTACCACACAAGCCCCACATCATCCGGACCCTGCTGCCTCTTTAGCCTCATCCCTGCCATTCCCCTATTTATGTAACGAGTCCTTGGTTTCATTTCTTTAGAAACCCTTTATGATTTCTTGAGCACCTATGTTTTTTTCCAGGCAATATGCATTATTTCATTTGATTCTCAAAATAATATGAGGTGGTTATTATTTCCCATTTTTTTAAATTTTTTTTCAACGTTTATTTATTTTTGGGACAGAGAGAGACAGAGCATGGACGGGGGAGGCGCAGAGAGAGAGGGAGACACAGAATCGGAAACAGGCTCCAGGCTCTGAGCCATCAGCCCAGAGCCTGACGCGGGGCTCGAACTCACGGACCGCGAGATCGTGACCTGGCTGAAGTCGGACGCTTAACTGACTGCGCCACCCAGGCGCCCCTATTTCCCATTTTATAGATGATAAAACTGAGGCTAAGAGATGTTGAGAAACTTGCTCGAGGTCATTTAGTTCTTAAGTACGGGATCTGGATCCAGGAGTACGGCTCCCAGGTCCCATTTTTTATTTTTTTTTTTAAGTTTTATTTATTTATTTTGAGAGAGAGAGAGAGGGAGAGAGGATCCCAAGCAGGCTCTTCACTATCAGTGCAGAGCCTGATGCGGGGCTCGAACTCACAAACTGTGAGATCATGACCTGAGCCGAAATCGTTCGGAGCCTGGAGGCTGCCTTGGATTCTGTGTTTCTCTCTCTCTCTCTCTGCCCCTCCCCTGCTTGTACGTGTGCTCTCTCTCGCTCTCTCTCAAAAATAAGTAAATAAACTTAAAAAAGAAAAAAAAAGACTAGGACGCTTAACCGACTGAGCCATCCAGGCTCCCCCAAGGCCCCATTCTTAGCCTTTGCAGTAACCCGCGCTTTGCTCCTTCTCCACGCCTGGCCGGCTATGTTCAGCTTTCAAAGCTCAGCTCTGCGATCACCCCTTCAAAACTTTTCCTTAACTTCAGTCTCGTGTTCAAGACCCCTCCCCTCTGTGCCCCCGTCACGGGCATCACTGAATGGGAACACTGTGCCCATCATATTGTCATAATTGCTTTTCTGAACCGCTTTCTCTCCGCCGGCGGGTTTTCGTCGAGATGGGTCTGGGCTTTTCTTTACTGCTCCAGGTTCCGCACCTAACGTCGTGCGGAAACTGCACTATGGGAGACAGTCTCCCCACGGGGGTTGGCAGGGCTGGTGCGGCCAGCTGGGGAGGCCTCTCTGGATGTCGAAAGCTGAGGGGAAGTGAGGTGACCCCCAGCTGGGCGGAGCAGGGAGGAAAGTGTGTCAGGGGCTCACGGGTCTCCGGTCCTGCTCCTCCCTGAGCCCGAGAACTACCATCGCACACGCTTCTGAAGCCCAGGTCTGTGCCCCTCTCTCCGGCCCCTCCAGCCTCACCAAGAGAGGGAGGCCCCACAAATCCCCGCAGCAGAACCTGAGTAGGCTTTGGGGATGGTAAGGGGCCAGCAAAGCGCCGCTCGGAGCCTCAGCGATCACAGGAGACAGACAGAGACCTTTGCCTTAGTGCCTCTTGGAGTTCAGCGCCAGTATCTGAAAGGCTGTCGGCATTCCACGCTCAGAGTGAATGGCAGAAGCAGAGAGGCCAGGAACACGCATGGCTGGCGTGGGAATCAGAGCCAGAAAACTCTGGAATGGAGGAACCGAACCAAGGGAGAAGTGTCTTGTGCCTCACCAATACCTTGCAAAGAAGGTTTCCGCAGAATTACATAAAGAAGTTCGCCTTCTCGTGCAAAATGAGGTTTGCGTGCTGTCTGCCGTAACAAAATACCACAGGCTGGGTAGCTTAAAAACCAGAAATTTATTTTTTCACAGTTCTGGAGGCTGGAAGTCCAAGGTCAAGTCAACACGGTTGGCTCCTGGACTTCTCCCTGTGTCCTCACCGGCGCTTTCCTCTGTGAATCTGTGTCCCAATTTCTTCTTATAAGGGCACCTGTCATACTGGATTATGGGCTACCTTAATGACCTCATTTTAACTCAGTTATCTCTTTAAAGACCCTATCTCCAAACACAGCCATTATGACAACCTAGAGATTAGGATTTCAACACACAAAGTGGGACAGGGGCAGCATTCAGCCCCATGACACATGTAAGTTTCAGACACTATAGCACTGAACAAAAACCCTCCGGGTACATAAAACATTTATCTAAGTTACAAATTTCTTCAGCCTTTTTCTACCACTTTCATCCCCTCTCGGCTGTTAAATCAATAAAAGTCCGAACGTTTTAAAAATAGCTGAACGATTTTGACATTCAGGAAGGTTCGGTGCCTGCTCTGGCTCTTAGATTTGCCCAGCTTGATACGACCTCGTGTTTCAGAGGAAGCAGCCTCTATTCAGCGCTGGGTCACAGCTGGCCTTCTGGAACATCCTTCCTCGCATCTGAACGCGTCCAAGTGGTGGGAGGGGATGTTTTTTAGACTGGAACATTTTAAGGAACCCAAGTCACGCAAATGTTCTTCCTCTTGAATGACTGAGCTACCTGCCTTTTTACCAGAAACAGATGATTTTGCCCCAGAATTCCTTTCTTTAAAAAGTTGCCCCCCCCACCATGTATATCAGAAGAGAGAGTAGTTAGTGCGTTGAAAAACTGCTGCAGACTGAGAGCCAGGAGACACAGGGATTTTGAGAAAGTAACTTCACCTCCTTAATCCTGTTTTGTTTTTTTTTTTCCACATGAAACATGAGGGAGTGACTTAGACACCTTCTCATCCTTCCTGCTATAAAATTCTAAAAGTTCGACATGAAACAAACATGCAACTTTCATCACACTGCTGTCCCCCTAATGTATGCTTAAAACAACAGTTTATTCCATTAAACCTAGACCTGACGCATAATTAGCCCCTTGTTATCCCCATCTCAGATATTCCATAGCAGCACAAATATGGAGCCGCGGAGGGGTGAGCAGTCTGGAGGGCTCAGCCGTGAACGTGGCTGTAGTGATATTAACCGGCCGCCACAGTTCTGCTACCTGAACCCCTATCTCATTCAAACAGGTTCTTCTGATTGGCCCTCATGTTCCCTCCATGTCTCATGGCGTCCCACCCCATGACTTAGAAAGGTCCTTGCTTTCCTGTATTTATAATTTCAAGGATCTAATGAAAGCCGTGAACCCCTTCTTCCCCCAAACGTAAATGTGTATGTGTGTATATTTTACAGTGTTATGGAGGTCAAGAACTTTTTCAAGCCCATCCATAGACACTGTCACGCTACCACCCCCACCCCCCAGGTCTGGGACCCTGACGTCTGCTAGACTGGCAGGGAGTGAAGTGGATGGTGTGTTCAGTGACTAACTTTGTTCTACTCTTAGGAAAATAGAGCTCAGTTAAAAACCTATTTTAACCGGTAGAAGCATGGCTATTTTCTGTCAAGCAATTTATGGGATTTTGAAAAATTTTTCGTTTTTAAACAATAATACTTGTGTTTTTAAAGATGCCTTGTACTTTCGGGGCACCTGGATGGCTCAGTTGGTTGAGTGTCTGATGCGACTTCAGCTCAGGTCATGATCTCACGATTTGTGAGCTCGAGACCCGCATCGGGCTCTGTGCTGACAGCTCAGAGCCTGGAGCCTGCTTCGGATTCTGTATCTCCTTCTCTCTCTGCCCCTCTCCTGCTCACACTCTGTGTGTATGTGTGTCTCTCTCTCAAAAATAAATAAACATTAAAAAAAAAAAAAAAAGCCCTAGGAACATCTTTTGTTCTAATGTTAGGTATTATTGACCCTGGTTCCTGAGGCAGAGCTCCTAAATCCCTGGGAACATTCTGGGTGTTGGGAGTATCTTTTGTTCTAATGAGACAATGCCTGGTGGGCTCCTGGTTGGGGGCTGGTCACCAGAAAGACCAAGCCATGAGTAGAAGCTTAGAATTCTCAGTCCCACCCCCCACTCTCCAGACGGGGGTAGTTTTTACCTTCTGGTAACTTCTGGCAATAGTAGGCTAGGTGA